TTAAATACTTCACAAATACTTTAAAACACTCAACAAACACTTTAAAAATCTCAATTCGCTTGTTCCGCTTCGCTTCAGGTGATCCGTTCGCTGTTTCGCTTCGAGTAGTTCCGATTACTGACTGACTGCATGCCATCTCTACAACGCTTTTATAGCCGATACTTCATCCCTAGAATTATCGAGAATATTCCACACATCTCTAGTCGTAGTTCCCGCTATCTGACAATAGATGGCGTTGTAATTCTCAAGCATTCTGGATCCTTCGATATTTGTTCGACTATTCGGCGATAGATGTCGTTACTCTTACCGGCGTAACATTACTATTCAGCAGCAAAGAGCTCTGGTGTTTCGATTAGAAAGACGAGACTGTCTTTGACGTCATGTCACAACCTGTGAGGCGACATTCACGAGCACAGGGAATCACTTAATATCAAGTAGGTCGTGAGTTCGTTTATCCATCTATGTAATAAAAAACAAACAAACAAAACGTATGGCTTGAAGCCCAACAAGGTCATCCTCTTCGAAGTAACTTTTCAATTTACAGCGAATATTCCAGATACAGTTGTTTTTTGCTGTTTCACGACTGAAACTTTAGTAAAATGTAGATTTATTTTCTCATTCAAAGTGTAATTATTCCTTTGTTTTATACACTAAGGATAATGAAAAATGTCGCAAACAGCTAACAATTCCATTAAATCTTTTTAGAAAAACTCCTTAAGCTTTGAGCGCGATGGCCCGAAAATGCTAATTTTGAATTACACGTCATTATTTTTTATCTATATGACATTCCTGTTTATTTATGTAACTGTGCTTAAAGCGAATATGCTAAGTGACCAGGACGAGCTTACCTTAGGACATTACAAGGAAAAAGTTAACGCTCTTGAGGAAGCTTTGAGCGAAGATTTTTAAGGACTTTTTTTCAGAACCATTTTGGAACGAAGTTCCTTATGGGACGATGCGGTGGGGTACCCAAACCGGGAAAAAGCGTCCGTAACGTAAGATTTTTATTATTTATGTATAGTCTTAGTATGTAGGCTATACAGTGTCTAATGTATAGTCTATGTGATGATGGCTATTATTATTCAGATAAATAGCTGTTTCTTTGTATATTATTATTATTGTATATATTATGTATATTATTATTTTTTTTAAATCATTGTGAATCAAATAAAGTTGATAACTTTGTAAAGTAGTTTTTTTTGTTAATAATAAAATTATAATAAAAAATGTATACCCGAATAATTATTTTCTTTATACTTCGAATAGAACTTAAAATTAATATTTTTATAATAAGGAACTTCGTTCCTATCCGATGTCCTACGACACCACACATCTTTTTTTATTGTACCACATCCACGTACGGGTACAAGGCCCGCCTAGCGTTAAAAGGTTACCACTAACTACTCTTGGTGGGTTTACCCCTACCACGAGGCTACGGTCTGATTTCGTGTTGCGATATCGATGGGCCTTAGTTTCCAATGGCTATTTACCAAAAACGGAGTTCATTGGACTATTTGTTCACCAGAATCGACTACTGGAAATTACATACCCGATCCTGTGGACCGAATGGTAAGCAGTCGACGTCGCCCTAAACACGTCATTACGGATCCTCCCGATCCATCAACGGTGCTTTTGGGTACCACAAGCACTGGTGACCGTCCTCGTCGAACCCTTCGCTTGTGTCGAAGGACTCGACGAGTGAATTCACCCATAGATACAGCCCACTGAGTTTCTCGCCGGATCTTCTCCGTGGGTCGCGTTTCCGATCCTGTGGTAGATTCTCCGAAGCACTGCTCTTGCAAGGGCCAGTGGTAGCAGCACACCCGGTTTGAGCCCCGTAAGCTCACCTACACGTCAAGGAGAAGCTGAAATAGCCTCTCAAGGTTATCAGCACAGGTAGGAGAAAACGGCTATAAATAAATTTGCGTTAAGCAGACAAAATCTTTATACAAAAATCTTTGCATTGAAGAGAAATTTTGTAGAATCATTAATTTAAGTTTCTCAAGTAGTTAGAACCTAATTGCGTTATTACGTTAAAGTAATCCGTTAAGATTTAAACGAATTATTACATTAATAATAAAACTGGCTTCGAAACTCGAAAGTTTCTATAGAAACACTTCAGATGTAATTTGGGATGAGTTTGTGGCTCGTTCGGTTGGCCTTATTCAATTTTAGTTTCACTTGTAAATTTAGTTTGCTGAAAAGACTAAGTGGTTAATTTGTTTATTTATTATTGTCTGAGAATTTGTGTGGCTAAAATCGTGTAGCCTATTAATAAAGTCGACGTTTTTACTCTTATGTAGTTTCGCTGACCGACTGTGAATATATTTTAATAACATAACTGCTTCATGGCAAAAATAAGCAGGTTATTGGGGTTTTTTTTTTATAATTATGATTGAAGTATTACTGGTGGCCTTTCCAGTTTCACCAGGACAGGTGGGCGAGCATTGGCTCAGCCAGGAGGGGTGGGATTTGCTAACAGCTGCCCGAGCGCCTCCGAAGGAGACCTAATAACTCAAGAGCAGCTGCTACGCGAATGAATCTACTACCGGATCGGAATCGCGACCCACTGAGAAGATCTGGCGAGAAACTCAGCGGACTGATGCATGCTATTTGCATATTTACTACTGTTAGTAGTCTATAATAATACTGTTAGTATGCCTTTCTATAAACTTTACAGCTATAAATTTTAATGCACAAAGCTGTTCAATCATCGTGGATGTCGACCATAAATACATTTTATGTAAATTTAATAAAATAAATTAATAAGCCTGACTTCTTCATTCATATATATTTAGAATAGACCGAGTTACTTCTTCATTGGGCACCGGTCACTTTAATTTAAAATAAAAATAAAAAAAAATATTTGTTAATGAAATGGTTTTGTTATTACCGTTTTAGGTGGCAACTAATGACTCGTGAAAACAAACATGTTCATGGTTTTATCTAATAATAAACGAACAAACAAAATACTTGTAGATAAGATTGAAGATGTAATTGTTAGTATTTATTTTGTGACACAGTGATGCAAACTTACATCAGATATAAAATCAAATTGGTTAAATTTGCTGATATCTTTACGTACCCATAAATAGTTTATGTTCACGAACACTCAGGAGCGGCATGGTTACGACAGTAATCGGATAGTAATAAGAGAGTATGTGCCTCGACCTGGACTCAATGCCATTTTTCTCGGTCATCCGTTTCGTCTCACCCACTAGAGTCCCGTCATCCTCGCCTTATGGTCTCCGCTTAGCTTCCTGTACCCCTTCTCTAGTTCCTCAACCGAATAATGATGGTGGCCCGTGTTGTCAATCCCACATAAGTTAGTACCACAGCTTTGACATGAAGCAATGAAACCCGCAATTTTTTTATTTGCGTAATTACTGGTGGCAGGAATTCTTGTGAGTCCGCGCGGGTGGGTACCACCACCCTGCCTACTTCTGCCGTGAAGCAGTAATGCGTTTCGGTTTGAAGGGTGGGGCAGCCGTTGTAACTATATTGATACCTTAGAACTTATATCTCAAGGTGGGTGGAGCATTTACGTTGTGGATGTCTATGGGCACCAGTAACCACTTAACGCCAGGTGGGCTGTGAGCTCGTCCACCCATCTAAGCAATAAAAAAAAGCAATAATGCTTACGGTCTGAAGGTAGAACTGTAATTATTCCAATGCATTGATGATTGATGACTTTGAACCGTCTAGAGGTACGTAGCGACATTCATACCTAAAATCCTTAATTTCCCAATCTCATGTTAAAGTCATCGTGGCCCGAAGGATGAGTTTGGCGTACTCGTATCAGATGTTATGAGTATGTCATTGTTAAAGTATAAATATTATCTAAGGGAATACGTACTAAACAAATGTCCGCCAAAATCTTCCATAATTAAAGAATAATCAGATAAATTTCCCATTGTTGTATCTATGGGCTCGTCCACTCGTCAATTTAAAATAAATAAAAAATTATAAATGTGGTGTCGTGGGCCACCAGGTAGGAACGAAGTTCCTTCGGCTAATGTAGAATCGACACAATTTGCAAAAAAAAATCGTGCTCAATTTTATGTTGGTTTTCTTGATTTTTCTCTTAAATTTTCTCTGATTAGTTTTTATTTAAGTATAGGAAAGTATTTAGGAAATAATAAATTACGTAAAATAGAAAGAGAATGGATGGGAGAACGAAAAGAAAGAGGGAGAAAGAGAAAGGTATTATACACTACTCGCTTGTGTATGCGACTGTCGCGCCTGCGCACGTCTCATTTAACGGTTTTATTCCACGCACTTTTTTCCACGGATTTTTTCCACGAATTTTTTCTTACGGTTTTACTATCACATTTTTTTCAGTTCGATCGCGCAGCAAAATCCCTATCCCCTCCAAGCCTGCCGTAAGGAACTTCGTTCCAATTAAAAGCTGTTAGTTCGCTTCCCATTATATTACAAACATTCAAATGACCAGTGGGCGTTGCTAATGTGACTATTAAATATCCCACAAAAAATTGGAGCAAAGCAAACCTTGCTAACATTGGAATGAACTTCACTGCTCAGTATTCTTTAAGTGTCAAGATTTTATTATGACCGTGTATCAGGTTAAATATTAAATAAATAAATCAACTGCAGCGTGTCTCGTGAAGTGTAGAGTTTTAATTCGAATATAAGTATTACGTGTGAATAAGAACTGATATTATTGCATTTGCATGATTTCATTCGTTTCATGGATAGCCACAATGATTGTTTATCAGCTTTCATCAGAATTACCTGAAATTAAACACGTGTGATTTAAATAAATAGTCGTAAAACTCTCGTATTCAACCGAAATCAAAACCGGAAAATGTAATTCCACTTAATTTGAATAATAAAACGTAACGTAAAGATAACGTGAATATTATGTTATATCACTGGTATTGTACCGATAGAGTACTAGTCGTCGAGCTTAGAGCTCAAACGAGCGACACGTATTGTGCAAGTGAAGAGAAAATAACACGAGTCTCAAGAATACAGAGGACATGTCACAAACAAGTGAAGAATCTACGAAAAAAGGACACACGTACCTGCAGTGGACATTCTCTATAATATGTATGTATGTATGATTATTATTTTTATTGTTTATATTTTCTGCATATTGTGTATAGTTTCTTGAGTTTGAATAGTGAATATGAATTAAACATAAAAAGTCTGTAAAATCTTCACACTTTTTTTATTGCATAGATGGGTAATAATAATTATTTATTTATTTCTCTCTTAAAGGTATAGTACAAATACAAATGGAAATCAACCTTATAATTTATTTTGTAAGCCTTTGAAAGAGCTGAAGTCTGTACTAGGTTCAAAGACCTGTACCACTTGACTGATCTCCAGGCTCCCTCCTTCTTAAGATAGATTAGGTTAGGTTAAGTCGTGAACAGATGGGTGGATGAGCTCACAGTCCACTTGGTTTTAGGCGGTTACCGGAGCCTATAGACATCTATAACGTAAATGCCATCCCCCACCTTGAGACCCTTCAAACCGAAACGCATTACTGTTTCACGGCAGAAATAGGCAGGGGGGTAATGCTTACCCGTGTGGACTCACAAGAGGTCCTACCACCAGCACAAGAGGTCTTACCCACCCCCAAATTCGTAATCATCAAATTTTGTTCCAGCAAACATAGCCTACTTGAATTACGGGTTGCAAAATGGTTGGATTTCACCGTTCGCAAAAAAACTACAGTCAGAAGACTCACCGACCGGGCGACCGTTGACCAGCACTGAGTTTTATTGGGTAGCTAGTGTATCATCACTGGCTGCAATGTTTGGTGTGTCAGCATTCGCGGCCTTAGCTGATGGACTAGGCAGAAAAATCGGGGTCGTCGCCGTGGCTGCGGTGCAGGCTGTGAGTACCTTTTATGGAGTAGCTTAAATCAGGAGCCGTAATTTAAGGTGCAAGAAGTGGCGGTAAGCAACTGGACGCTCGTTGTTTGTCCACAGTATGATTATCAGTTGTCTAAAAATGTGGGCTCATCATGAAAGGCAAATCAAAATTGGGTATTTTATCATTACTCTTGTGAAAAGAACATTAGAAATAATCTTAAACAAGAAAAACTGATAAAATCATGTAACATTAATTATGTTTATGGGATTGATGATCATGACATTGTAATACAATATAAAACAAGAATAAAATCTCAAACATAACTAAGACATCGCCTTTTATCATTTGTATGTTTTGTGTTATTTCGGTGTACATTCGTACTAAGGAATACATTCATTTAAGATATTAAAAATTTGACGATAAAAAAACAAACATTTTATTTTGATGAATAGACGTCACTACTGATAAAATAACTGGTATTAAATCTAATATTATTTTTAGCTTTGCTGGATCATAAAACTGTGTCCTTCAACAACAGTAACTCTGATAATTGCGAGAATCTGTAGCGGCCTGGGAGCTGGTGGAGCTTTCGCGATAGTCCCAATGTATATAAAAGAAATTAGCCAGAACAATATTAGAGGAACCCTCGGAGTCATCATGACAATATCTCAGAATGCTGGATATTTGATAATGTATTCGATGGGAGCATATATGGAGTACTATACGGTACTATGGATAGCGGCTGTTCCGCCGATATTGAATCTGTTGCTGATGCTATTCGCGCCAGAATCTCCTGCGTTCCTATTGAAAAAAGGAAAAGTCAGTGTGAGTAACTCTTAAAAAACAAATCCTCCCAACAAATTAATAACTTGTGAACTTTTAGAAATTTCTCTGTAATATAAAATGGGCAGAAGAGTATGCTATTGCAATATGTTCAGGCTCAGAAAAGCTAAGTATTTCCACAGTAAATTTATTATTTATTATGTTTTACTTCAAAACCAAAGGAGTAGAAATTTTACCAGCTATATTATGTATCAATAACAAAATGGGTCCAATAAACGTGGTTTAATAATGGAGTGTTAGTGTGTTGTACGAGTATGTTAGAATTATTGGTAACATTATAAATGAAGTTCGGTATTTTATGCTTTAGGAAGCTACTGAAGTGATAGCAGGCTTAAGAGGCTTAAATATTGATGACAATGTAGTTTTAAATGAGATTAATGAAATAAGAAAAGAAGACGATTTTTACAAGTCTATACCCAATATTTCGTTTTTTGGAATCTGTAAGTATCTAATATGAAATCAATAATTTCTCTAACATGTATTTTTCTGATAGGTCACACTTGAATNTATGCTTTAGGAAGCTACTGAAGTGATAGCAGGCTTAAGAGGCTTAAATATTGATGACAATGTAGTTTTAAATGAGATTAATGAAATAAGAAAAGAAGACGATTTTTACAAGTCTATACCCAATATTTCGTTTTTTGGAATCTGTAAGTATCTAATATGAAATCAATAATTTCTCTAACATGTATTTTTCTGATAGGTCACACTTGAATGAAGCTAAGTGCGGTTGTGTTATATAATGACTGAGGTCTAGAATTGTACACCGTATCACGCATATACCTTATATTCTGACTTTCATTGTATACGCTAGTTAGTTTTGTGTACTTGAACTATCCGTGTAAACAAACAGGAACTGAATTTAGTTTTCTCACTTGCAGTTAAACAGCCAGTATGGCGTCGTGGATTTTTAATAATGTTCGTAATAATTACCACCCATGGTCTAAACGGCGTATTTACTATAGTAACATATGCTTCAACGATCCTGCGAGCCTCTGGAATAACATTAAACCCTGAACTGCAGTTATTAAGTATACCGACCTTTATGATAATATCTTCAGCTCTGTCCATAACGCTTGTGGAAAGAATGGGAAGAAAGGTATGTTGAGTTTTGTATATTATCTAACTATCTTATAATGTTATTAGACCTCATCTTATATTAGATGAGCAAAAGATAAAAACCTATTAAAACATTGTTAATAATATGTATTGATTATTTTATTGCGATCAAGCAATTATCAGTAAGAGAATAATTATCAGGTTATATAATTATACAGTTATAGATAGATACATATATATAAAATAAGATATTTAGATTTTATTAACTACATAATTATTATTATTTCGAACTTTATTGACTAAAATTAATACGCTTGTTCCCTATTTTGCAATAGATATAGCTTTCTAAGAGCTGTATACAAATTAAGTTACTGATTTGGAACTTTCGATATTGCTGACGTCCACGAGCAACGGTAACCACTCACTATCAGGTGGGCCGTATGCTCATCTGTCTAAATGGACAATAAAAAAAAACCAGAGTGTACACCACTAACACGATATATTTATTCCAAATTCGCTCTGAACATTCATTGTTCCATTTTCCAGTTCCTTCTAGCAGGTACATATATAGTATCAGCATTTGCATGTGGAACATTAGCTACGACGTTACTAATGCAGGAAAATGGATTCGCTACACCAGGCTGGTTGCCAATTGTAGCTATTGTAGCTACGGTAAGCTGCTATGCGGCTGGAATTTTGCCTCTTCCCTTCGTTATTATGTCTGAGATGTTTAACTTCCAAGTAAGTATAACTTTCTGTTTTATCCTTGCTATGTTGGTTAGGATAACAGAAAATCAAAAATGGTGTGTTAAAAAATGTTAAAAATTAATTGCAACCACATAATCTGTTATCTCGCACACGTTCTCAATGTTCATTTTTAAATATTCCAAGGCTTAATATTTCATCTTTAGCAGACATCCAATTAAAAGATGACGATGTACGATCATAGTTTATAGACAAGTATAATATTAATCTGATTTAACCAAAATGTATTAAATTATTGAGAAAACTTTACCAAAAAAACTGTAGGAAACCGCTGCATATGATGGTCATGCTAGGAGTGATCGTTGTGGTGAGCCTTGGTGCAGGCCTACGTCCAGTAGTGGGTGTCGATCAACTAATGATGATGATGTCAAATAAATATTTGTTAGAACTAATTTTTATTTGGCTTTTAGATCAGAGCAAAAGTGATGAGTTGCATAATAACCACAGGATGGTTAATGTCATTCGTCCAAGCAGCATCTTTTGGGCCCATCACGGAANGCTAGGAGTGATCGTTGTGGTGAGCCTTGGTGCAGGCCTACGTCCAGTAGTGGGTGTCGATCAACTAATGATGATGATGTCAAATAAATATTTGTTAGAACTAATTTTTATTTGGCTTTTAGATCAGAGCAAAAGTGATGAGTTGCATAATAACCACAGGATGGTTAATGTCATTCGTCCAAGCAGCATCTTTTGGGCCCATCACGGAAATTTTAGGCTCCTCTGCGGCCTTTTACTTCTTCGCTTTTATGAATTTCTTTGGCGCAGTCGCTGCTCTGTTCTTTTTACCCGAAACAAAGGGTAAAAGCGTGGAAGAAATTGAATTTGAATTAAAAGGAAAGTAGGACTATTCAATACTATATTTATTAAGGGTATGTTTTGGAGAATAAGAATCTAGAATAAAAAGAAAATGTAAATGTATATGTAATAAATGTTTTTATTTATTGCTTAGATGGATGAACGAGCTCACAGCCCACCTGGTGTTAAGTGGTTACTGAAGCCCATGGACATCTACAACGTAAATGCGCCACCCACCTTGAGATATAAGTTCTAAGATCTCAGTATAGTTACAACGGCTGCCCCACCCTTTAAACCGAAACGCATTATTACTGCTTCTCGGCAGAAATAGGCTGGGTGGTGGTACCTACCCGCGCGGACTCACAAGAGGTCCTACTACCACCACTTTCCGGACGTAATCAATAACTTTTCATGAAATTCATTTACTTAGTTATATGGAAATCGATTTTGAATAAAATATATATTGTACTTCAAAGTAATATTATATTCTGACGACTCTTGAATGTAATCCTACTAACACTATAACCGCGAAAGTTTGTAAGAATGCATGGATGTATGTTTGTTACTTTTTCACGCAAAAAGTACCGAATGGATTTTGATGAAACCATACAATAATATAGCTTACGCATCAGGATAATACATAGGCTATAATTTATAAAGATATAGAGTGATTTACTCAAAATATAACAAGCGTTCGCTGAGAAGAAAAAAATCTGCCACCTGCGACTTATTCTGGCATGCGCCGCAAAAACCGTTGAACGTACACGTATATTATAATTTAAAATGGAAACGATTATCATAAATAGTACTACAAAAAAGCCTGCGGAAGCATTTATCTTTTATGTGTAAGAAATTATCCCCAAAACAGTGAACTATGAATATAAGAAGAGGAAAGATTAGATTATTTGTTTGTTACGTTCTTTTTTTATTGTGTTTGTTACTGTCAGAACCAAATTTGTATATAAGAATATTCAATAAGATCAATAGTAAATTACAGTTCTCGAAGCGAAGCGAGGGCGGGTCGCTAGTATAGTATATTTTAGAATCAATAGGTAAGCTTTGATTTGAGACACGCTTAACCAGTTTTAGTGTTCGAGTTTATTTCTTTGTTATTCAACATCTTCGATCTTACAGACCCCTTAGTGTTTAATGGGTACCACATAGTCAACACAACTTCGATGCCCCCCATCTTGATACATGAGGACCAAATCTCAGTTGTATCGTAATGCTGCCCTGCCCTTCATCTTGATTTTATTTTACTATACAATACTCATATTATATTATTATTACAAGGGCATGTTTGGCAAGTACTCATTCTAAAGTGGTATCTCCAATTAGATTTGAACCCTAAAGTAAAAAACTCCAATGCTGCATCACCCGATATGAATACACCAAAAAGCTTACTTGTTAGGCCATGGTCTACAGAAATTCTCCTCTTTGGCAGATATTATGGTACATAAATGGATTTTTCTTTATTGTCTGGCGATCAAATTCTGTAATATGATCTAGCTGCTCTTTACTGGAGCTTCTTATATCAGAAGTTAAAGCTCGGTTGCGATGTTGTTATTGCTGTCGAACACTGACTGAAGTTACGAAGCTTTGTTGAGTACCAGTATCTTTCAGATAGCTCGAACTATGATACTTCATGAAATAGCAGTATACCCTCGTAGTTTCATGATACTCTTTCAGAATTTGTCTAATTATGGTGAATAACTTTATATGCATACTACTTAAAAAATCCCAAATTTTGATCAACATTCATTCATACATATCTAAAAAATAAATAATAGTTTAATAAAACTAAAAAACACGCTTTATATAAAATTCAACTAAAAAATAGAAAATAAATTTAAATTGGAAATAGTGTAAATAAAATATATTTTATTTTAAAAAAGGCATGGGATGCTTTTTTAAGATATTATTGAAATAATAATTCATCTACTCATATGTGTCAGAAAAATATTTACTAAACTATTATTTATTTTTCATTTTTTAGTAAAATTTTCTATGAAAGCGTATTTTTAAAACTATTAAGTAAATTAACATCAATTCCTGCCTTACCTACTAGGGTAAAGCCGAGATAGATGCCCCACTTTTTGAAATAGTCGTGTAATTTTAAAAATATTAATTTTATACGAATAGTTAGCTCAATTCTTTATATTTAATTAGTATACATTTTTTTTAACCTATCAAATACAGATTTTGCAGAAATTCGTTTTTCGTAGAACCTTTTTTTGGAGGATAGATGACTACCTGTATGGATAGTTGCCCCACCAAGAAAATACTGAGTAGGATAGATGCCTGCAGTGCAGGATAGATGCCCTTTATACCGTGTAAACTAAAAAACCAAACCAAATATTAAGAAGCTCTATTCATAACAGAGCAATTGTCTCCAAGAAACGTCATAATAATAAAAAAAATATGTATTTTTTAAGTCTTTGAATGTTTATAATTAAAAGATAATTCTCATATCACACAAATGATCATAATTAAATGTTTAAAGCGTTAAGTAAGCGTAAGCTAAACTACATTTTTTTTAGTTTCAACATGCATTATCCTATTTTTTTATTATATTAAATTTTACAAATATTTATTCAACAAAAATATAAATTCTTAATTGTTTATAAAATATTTTCATTAAGTGTCAATGTGTACATTGCAAAATCATATTTTTTTNCGTTACTTTTATTTGAATCCCGTTAGCGAGATTACGGGCGCTGACAAAATTAATATTTTTGGCCTTAAGGGCCAGGGAAACTCGGTCCCAAGCTGCCTTCTCTTGAAGGATTACCGGGGGAGGGGTCTGAGTTTTAGATTGTGCCACTGGACGCGGCGACGGTGTGGCACGGACAGCGGGAGCGACGGGGGTTGGAGGGCGGGGACGCGACGCGTTCGCGGCTTTGCTTACTTTAGCGGCCGCGGGAGCTCGGGCCTCCGCAGCGCGCTTTTTACCTTTTTGGACTACTGTGAATCCATCAGTCGCGGCGGCGGGGGAAGGGTCGACCTCCATGTCCGACTCTGAATCGGATGAGGAAGGCGCGGGCGACCTGCGGGTGGGTGTTTTAGCGGGAGCAGTGGACGACGCAGGCACGACGGAGACTGTGGACGAACACACGGGTGCAACGTAGGTCGCCGACGAACGCACGGTTGGGGCGGAAGCTGCAACGGTCGACGCAGAAGTTTTGGGCGCGAGTATCGGCGACACGGGATCGGCGGGCACGACGGAGGCCGCGATGGACGACGCAGGAGCGACGGGAGCGACAGAGACCGCCGGCGAGTTCGCTGCGTGATGGGTCTTGAATTCTAAAAATTCTGCCGATAGCGTTGGGTACCTAAGGCGAAGAAATTCTGCAAACAGATCGACCATGGACTCCATTATAATAGACGAGTGCCCAGGGGGGGCTGCCCCGGGACTTTAAAAACACACTCGCCTTACGGCGAGGCCCCAAAAATTGTAATAATCGCAATTAATTACGGCACACAGCCGTCCGCTTGCAAACGGGCCACTAAGTTACCGAACGAATTCCTGGAATTTAGGGGTCCGCCCGCTCACAGATGGCGATGCGACGCAATTGACTAGAATATCTATAACTCAGACCGTCCCCGATAATCTTCAGAAATTTAATATCAAGACTAGGCTTCTCATGTAAACAAAAACCCGACCGGCAAAAAGAACTTCTCCGTCATCTTTGTTTCTTCCCACGAAACAACGAACGCGGATAATATATATATGAACTTTCAGCGTCCACATTCTACGCGTACTGGATAAATTGAAGCAGAAAACCACATAGCTTTGCAATGAAGTTGTAAATATGTCAATGCTCTGTATTGTACTATGGTAATGAGGCATGTCGCATTGTATAAGAGGTCCAACCAGTTTGTATTACAAAGCAATCAGATTTTGGGTCTATAAGATGGAAAAAGTTGAATCCAAAGCAATTAAATCTTGTAGCTCAAGTCTTAGAATCGTGCTTATTGAAAATGTTTATCTTGAAATGTAACTGTCAGTAAATGATTTTACAGAAACTTAATCGAAAATTAATATTAAATGAATATGATACACGAGAGATTAAACAAATTATTTATTTTAAACCTTTACAATCAACTTTATCTGAACGATACCCTCGCAATCTATTGTGTTGATAGTATTATTCTATGCAATATACCATATTCTTACTATTTTTTATTAATAATTTTCTTTTTCTCTGATAAACGATTTATATTTTCATGTTATGTATAAATTTGTTAATGTTTATATAATATATGTATGAGAATTAGTATATAGATATATGTACTCGTATATATGTCTAAATTTAATATTATTATTATGATAATAATAATATAATTGTTGTATGTTATGTTTATACAGGGTGTCCCAAAACTCAACGATAACCTGGTACCTACCGGGCGAGAGGCCAAGGTATACCAGTTATGAAAAAAATAAGAAAAAAAATCTATGTCACTTAGTCAAACGATGATAGACATTTTTCGAAAAAGTTAAAAATTGTGGAAGGTTGAAAAGGGTGTCCCTTGGTCGCATTTTTAGGTACTGTGATCGCAATTTTCACAATTTTACAGTGGTTTGTTTAATAATGTTATCTCAAATAACAGTGCTATTAATAGTAACCACAAATGAAAGTAATAATCATTGTTAACTAAGTAAAATAAATTAAATTTTGACGAGTTATGGTTTATAAAATTTATGTCAGTCAACTTTGACACTCTACGTTGGAAAAAAAATGTACTACACTACCTATGGCAAGTTTTTTTAAAAGATGACCCATTTAGTCTAGATTTCAAAATAGTACAAAACTTGCCACTTTTCATGCCAATAAAACTGCTATTTCGTATGCTATGCGTAGGGATCCCTCATTTAAAAAAAATACCTGATATTCTTTTGTTTGAAAAGTTCTAAGTCTCCATTGTTTGTAATGAACAAAAGTGATAAAAAGAAATGGATAGTAGTTATGGTATTTGTCAAAACGAGGCGTCACTATCCCTCTCACTCACAACGACTCATCAGTCGTTCATAATAAAATTTAAGCAATAACATTTAGTACACATCGTTTCTTCGTTTACTGCGCATCTCTCGTAATCGTGTTACTTTCGTACTATCGACTTTGGCTTGTGTTACCCTGGACTTGATACTCTGTCCGTACTTGACGACTCTGGCTTTGTTCTTTGGACTTTGTGCTGTGCAAACTGTGTGTGAACAACATGCCGCATTTGTACACACCGCAAGAATATGCAAATATGCATCTTATCTACGGTGAGCGCCGTTGTAATGCCTCTGCTGCAGCTCGACTGTATCGGGAGAGGTACCCGAATGTGGAGCGGCACCCAGATTATCGTGTCTTCCAAAATGTGCACGCATCATACTCGGAAGGACGATTACCCAGTGCTCGTACATCTGGTGGGAGACCTCAAGGAAACTACGACGCTGAAGCTTTGAATGAAGTTGAAAATGACCCCAGTACCTCAGTACGTGCGATTGAAATTGCAACGGGTGTGGCGAAGAGTACCGCACATCGAATTTTAAAACGATACGATTTTCATCCTTACCATGTACAACATGTGCAAAGCTTGTTAACACGTGATCACGCACCCAGAGTTGATTTCTGCAGAACCATGTTAGCGAAAATTCGTNAAAAATCAGGGCAACTATCCTTTGTGATATGGATAGATGCCCAATTTTTTTGTAAATAAATTATAAACATAATAGCATTTATTTACACCTAGATGCAGACTCAATGAACCAATATATTCACGTAGTAAAAAATATAATGGAATTTTACACTAATTATAAAGTTATACCACGCTAAATACTAACCTTTAAATCTTTGACGTGTTCGTGAAATTCCGCGCTGAGAAAATTACATGTACGAGGAAAACACTTCGCCATCACGCGATTGTCAAATGGTACATAAGGTATAGAATGACTGTGGTTCCTACTTATTAAATTAATTTTTTGTCATGAGTGCGGGAAGTTAGGTTTTTAGAACATGAGGCATCTATCCCGCTGCGGCATCTATCCAGGTTTTACCCTATAGATAAAAATTATATAAATCGGCAAAAATCTTATTTTACAAATTGAATAATGGAATAATCTTATCAAATTAGTGTATTGTCATCGGTCCTCGATAAATATACAAAGTTGAAAATCGCGTCTAAAGGAGTCCGTTACAAACATAGAAACGTAGAAAGATACAAACATACATACAAGTGAAGCTAATATAAAGCGTGTAAAAAATTGTTGAAGTGCAGTCAAGGTTACAAGTAGGTTGCAGTCAATTCACAAATCAAAGNCATAAAGTTGAATAAATAAATAAATAAACCAACATCATAATTTTTGTGTGATACGTAGTACTACTAAACTATTGCATGCCTATGCACGTGAACAACAAAAATAACATTTAAAAATAAAGTCATTAGACCGCAGTTCAAGCAAACATAAAATATGCATAGCACCTCCCTCGTCGGTCGCCGAAGAAACTGTAAAGTTGTCAAAATGGCTATGAATACAAGGAATGCGGAACTAAGCCTAAAATCAAATTTAATAACATATGCAACAAAAAAACATAAGCAATAAAAAAAATATGCGACTCGAATCCAAGATAGAATAAAAAATTTAAAGCTTGATTTGAAATTTCATTTCTTAGAATAAGTAAAGCTGCATCGACCGACATCATTAGTGTATCTGAACGCTTTGAGATGTCGACTTCATCTCGGAGACGCCAACATTATACTGCAAACGTATTGAGAGATATTACTGTCATTGTGTAGGGATTAATGCGGCTTCATATTTTGTACTGTTCAGCAAGTAAACTTTGTCGTCTGTGTGCTGTATATTTATTTCATCTATACTAATATTATAAAGACGAAAGATTTGTTTGTTTGTTTGTATTAAATAGGCTCCGAACCTACTGAACCGATTTGAAAAATTCTGTCACTGTTTGGAAACTACACTATTCCCGAGTGACATAGGCTTAATCTTTTTAGAAAAAACTTAGGCATCCTTACTAAAACTCCAATAATGTAACCCAAGGTGTAAAAAAATTTCCTAAAATATTCTTTACATCGCGTGCCCTGTGAAAACTATTGATGATAGAATAAAATAATGTACTACGACTTTGTAGAACGCATTATTATTTACAAAAAGTGTCGCGGCAACATAATATGTCTAACTATTGTAGTTATGCAGCAATAAGCGTTCTTTTATTTAAAAAAGTAAAACAACGTCAAATATAGTTGAAATTTTTGTTAAAGACCCGAGCGGAGCCGGAGCGGGCCGCTAGTAAGTAATAAAATGATAATTAGAATCACACCTTCCTCCCTAACATATCTTACCGAAATCATTGGATTGAAATAATTGATAGCATTAGAATTCAATTTTTTGCTTTAAAACGAACAATAATAAACGTGTAAAACGGTTTTATCGTTATCAGTAAACAGAAGCGTTTAGCCGGTATCTGCGCGGCGGCCGAGCGCTCCAGTTGAGGCGATTCAATATCCGCAGCGAACGAGAACGCCTCACTCTAGTCATTTCCGTCGCCTCTACACATAGGAGGGACGTAGTTAGGTCATAGATGGGGGTCTGATTAATTTAAACGTGAGTCAGCACACGTTTGCGGTACACTCGACGTATCCAATGTTCAAAAAGCGGGTACTTCAAAAATACTAATCACTAGACTTGGAGTACAGGTCTGCCATCCATTTCCTACCATCGTCTTTCGAATGTGGTCGGACCATGAGACGGCAAAAACCACATAATACTTTTTTGCTGCAGTTAGGTAAGCAAGCTTAGAAACACTTTTTTATTACTTAGGTAGGTGGACGTGCTCACAGCCCACCTGGTGCTAAGTGGTAGCTGGAGCCCATAGACATCTACAACGTAAATACCCGCCCACCTTGACATATAAGTTCTAAGATCTCAGTATAGTTACAACGGCTGCCCCACCATTCAGACACATGTTGAGACAAGGCATCAAAGTTTTAACAATATACTTATTTTAAGAAAACCAAACACTCACAAAATAATAGAAAGATAAATAGAAAAGATAATACAGTAATAGCTGTTAAGTTTCCAATAACAAAATAAACTTGCAACCACAGCGCACTAGGTAAGTGTAGAAATTGACGAAAGAAAACACTCGCATCAAGACTTTTTTGTGAGCATTAATAATTACTTTAACGAAAAGGAAGTCACCGTTAACTGCCTTTTTTCTGTTTAATTGTCTATCGAGCAACCCTTGTCGCTGTATCTGTAACTTCAAAGACTTGCTTCGGAAATGACGGCTAAAAGTGTACTTTCTCTGCTCGATATTAATTATTTCACACGTCACTTTATGAGAAAACAATAAACCATAACAAAATGAC